AAACATCCAGCCAATGTAGTAAGGCTCATGCACACAACGTATTCCCATTCGGTAGGATGTGCAGTAATGGAAAGTCAGTTTGAAGTTTTGTACTGCTAATGTGTAATTTTTTTATTTATGCTATACTGTAATTCTCATTTTTCTTGTTCTGTGCCGACTTTACAATTAAAATCCACGGTATAAATGGTATTGTTTGTTTCTCTTTATACAGCTCAGTTATTTACTTACCAGTTTATTTATGGCATTAATGTTATCTTTAAATCTTTTTTGATGTACCGCAAAAATAAAAATAAATAATAATTGTCAGCCGAGGGAATGCAGATCCTGCCTGCAGACTTTTACCATGGAAAGGTAAATACTGTATGAGATTAGCGATGCAGTACTGTAAATTAATGTAATTGCCGGTAAAATCTGTATCATGTTGTCATTTCTTTAATTACTGACAAACCCTTTGACACTTGAGCAATTTTGGTGCAATTTGTGCCAAAAACTTTATCATGCGGACCTTGTCCCATGTTGATCACCATACCAAGTTTGTTGCCTATCTATACTGTAAACTGATGTTCATCTTATTTTAGGGATAGACAGGAGGACTGAAAACAACAACAGGGCCTCGATCATTATTGTCAAACACTAATAATGTATACAAAAACGGAAGTTGAAAATACAAGTAAGAGTAAATCATCCATTGACTTCATCAACATATGCAGTTTAAGGATTTTCTTTATTTTGCCAAGGTGAGAGATTATTCCAGTTAATGAAAGTTTTACTGTTCTGATGTGAGTTTTTTTAAGGGGAATGGGCTGTGGCTGTTACTAGAACCCAAGGTACGACATTTTAACATCATTTCTGATTTTTTTCCTCATTAAAAACATCTAAAATGCTTTGTTTAAAACCATAAATCATTAATTTTTTCTCAAAAAGCTTCATTTAAAGTAAATGTCAACACTCAACATCTTAAGGCATCTGCAACTCACCTTAACTTAATCTGGATTCCTGCCATCTAAATAATGTATTCTGATAATTTCTTATTTTAACTTTATTCACATTATAAAAGGCGGGCCTTTTCGACATATATTAAAACAATAACAAACAGAAGCACTGAATACAAATGAACGTTGGTGTCAATGGGAATATATTCCAGGGGTCAGTCAGACAGATAAAAGAGTAGTCTTATGTTCGTGATAATACTAAAAACTGCTGTAGAGCCCCTCAGGTATCATAATAGGACATACTTAGCTTTAGTTAATGGTCAGGCTAAGCATGAGAGAATGAAGCAGGTACTTTCCACTCTCTTTGAGTATCAGCTGGGAATCAAATCAAATAATGACAGATAAATATTGAAATACAAGATGGTAGTGTGTGTGTGTAGTAATGCTGGTGCAAGGGGCTGACTTATTAGTCCTCTGTCTCCAGAGGGCAACCTTTGCTTCTAATCTCCTTCTGGGGGCTGATGGGTGATCATAAGATCAGCTCCCAGCAACCAAATGCATGCTCAGTGCCATACCCAAGCCCCTGAAGACTAGTGCAGTAATGGAAGCCACCTGGAGAAGTATTTCAAATTAAAAATAAAATAAAAATTATGGTATCACAGCCTGAATAAAGTAGGCAATAAAACATATTTGTACATGGTCAGCAGTAACTAAGATTATATCCATGTTTTTGGGCAGAATGGTGCAAGGTGCTGATTGCTAAGGCATATGTAAGGCATGCGGGTAATGGCATACAGCAAATTAATTCCAGGACATTCCATTACTGAAGAAAAATAACCTAAGAATTTTAAATTGACAATCACAAGGATAGTTCATAGACTTCATCTTTAGAATATTGTACTCTTCCTCTCAGTGTACACCGTATATAATCTTGTATGAATCCATCTCGGACATACAGTAGTTCATCCCCTGATTTTTGGGTAAAAAACCCAAGTTTTTCATATACCCCCTGTATAATATGACCCTAGCTATTGAGAAATACTGTACTAGGTATAGTAAGTCCTCGCTTAACGTTGCCTCCAATAACATTGTTTCGTTATAACGTCGCTACTCTTTAGATACCCATGATTCGAACAACGTCCTGCCGATTTGGTATAATGTCATCACGGACTATTTTGTACGGCTCATCACCCTCTCTCATGTTGGCGCGCTACGCTCTTGAGGAGCGACGCAGCGTCCCCAGTCTTTGTTAGGCTTCCGCAGCGTATGTGTGTTTTTTTGCTCTAAATACTGTACTTCCAAGCGCCCATCAAGTGCTAATGCTGTGAAGGAGCAACGTGGGGTTGTGCTAGGTCTAACCCCCACAACAGTTGTACTATCCAGACCAGCAGACAAGATTAAGGCTAGTGCTGGAAGTGGGTACTTCTTTGAGTATAATATATACTATTTTCTATAAAAATTCCACTGAATTTATGTATATGTAATGTATTTTGTGGGGCAAAGGGAAGCTTGGGAACGTAATTCCCCTATTTTATCTGTTTATGGGGAAATTGATTCTGTTAACGTCGCGGTTTTCAGGAACGGAACCACGACGTTAAGCGAGGACTTACTGTACTGTATACTGTAATCCAGAAGCACGGAAATCGAGTGGATACAGTGCTCGCCTCCTATTCCGGGGGGTTGGTGGTTTGATTCCTGGGTGCTCCTAGTTCACCGAGCTGTAAATGGGTACCTAAGTTTACAATTTGGGAAAGTGAATGTGGTCAAGAGCAGTACTGGCCATGCTGCCTCCTTGTGTACTGAAGGCTTAGTATAGTGTGCTGTATCCACACTGTCCCTAAAGGCAATCATGCCTGGCACCCACTCTCACTTTTTCAGGTATAATCCTTGAAATTTTGTAGCAAGATACCAGATTCACACCAACGTGTCTTGACCATAATCACCACCACAACAGTTGACGCTATGAACAGTGTTGCCAACTCTGAAACTGAATTTCCACCAGTTACCAACTCCTATTTATAAATTTCACTAGATGTAGTACAGTGGGGTATGCTATAACGAATGGATTCTATTACGAATATTCCTATAACGAACGGTTTTACCTATAAAATTGAGAATGCTATAACGAACGAAACTCCTACAACAATTTTTTTTTTCTTTTTTTTTTTACTAATTTATTGTTTTTTTATTACAAGTATTAATTATATTCTTTATTTCAGGGGTTTAGATGCATATTTATGCACTTTTTTACAATTTTTTTCAATTTTATATTATATTTTTCAGTGTTAAGTGGTTGTATTTGGGGGCCTGGAACGGATTAATCCTATAACGAACGAATGCTATAACGAACAAGGTTCTAGAACCAATTAGATTCGTTATAGCATACCCCACTGTAGTAATAAAAATAATTTAATTTTAAAGCCTTTACTAAAGTTTAATCTCCTTAGAAATTAACATTAATTTGGGGTATTCTAAAGGAATATACTGTACCATCCTTATTATACTGCACACTTCCTACGGCACTGAGTACAGGTACTGTTACTAGGGAAGGCAGAAAGGCAGTGTCCCAGCTGGGGCCTGTGTTTCTATGGTGAGAGTCCCTGAGACTTCCACAGTATGTAAACAAACTTGTATCATTTTATACTTTTTTATGCCTTCATCATTGTTATTTATATTCTTTCATTATTTCTGTTTATATGCCTACAATTTTGAGGTTTGATGTTACAGTGTACAGTACTGTACAGATAAAGCTACTGTACTCTGAGTAAATAACTAATTGAAGAAAATAATGTACAGGTTGACAACCCTTTATCCGAAAAGCTCTGAAAGCCGAAAGTTTTTTTGTGGAGCATAACTTTTTATTTATATATTTGTTTTATTTATTATTTTTTTATAATTATTATTATATACAGGTATTAGCCCACCCGGGCACAGGTCACTGACCCACATCTGGGCCTGGGGGGCGAAAATGTAATAGTAATAATAATTATAATAATAATAATTATTCATAGTAAATAAAAATTTTAATAAAAAATACACAAAAAATAAAATAATAATGATAACAATAATAATAATAATAATAAAATTAATAATAACAATAATACTGTAATAATAAAATAATAATAATAAAGAAATACAAAAATAAAAAAAGATCAAAAGTGAGAAACACGACCTAGACCTATGAATTATTATTATTATAATTATTATTATATTTTAGCCCCCCAGGCCCCGATGTGGGTCAGTGACCTGTGCCCGGGTGGTCTGATCCCTGTAAAAAAAATATATATATATATATATATACTGAAAACCACATAGAAAACATGAAGTTCCCAAGTGCTTTCATGTAATTCATATCTTCAGGGGTGAGTACAGACAAAGGAGTAATTACTGACAAGGCTAATGTATACAGTACAGTAAAGGAGAGTGAGATCAAGTCCCTAGGGACAGCTGGTTGTCCACTCATATTCAGGTCATAAGGCAGTGACCCAACCCTTTTACCTGGTTACAAGTCTTATTAATCACAAAATTCTCCAATTTGTACATGCCATTACTCAAATTCATGTTGTGAGATTTGGTATGTTTAATGAGACTAGATTCTATAATGTTCCTACTGACAACTGAATTACAAGGTAAGATTGAGGAGGCATTACCCTGGTCAATGCAATGCTTATTATCTCCCATACTAATAAACAGAGCATTGGAATCTTGGCATGTCATAACACTATAGTTTTACTGTTTAAGTCTAATTACAAGATCTTTGCCCGTCTGAGCTAAGTAGAGCATAATACATTCCTTGCAAGGAAGCTTGCAAATGTAGCCACCTTCATTGCGGGAGAAATTCTTAATTAACATTTGTTTTACAGTGAATGAATTACTAAACGTTACATTTATGTTCCAGGTTTTCAATTGTCGAGGAATTTGAGAGAAATGTTTGTTAAAAGGTAATACAGTACTAAGAGATTCTTACTGTCATGGGGAGGTTTAGGATCAGTTCTATAAAAAGATTTCTTAGCGATGTTAAGGCATTTGTCTATAAAAGTTCAAGGGTATTTTAAGCTAAATCCAATATTATACATACAGTATATTTATATTCCTCATCAATGAATTCCGGAGTACATATTTGTAGAGCACATAAAACGTTGATGAGAATATTGGCTGTTTGACTCTATTATGGTGGGCAGAATAATAATGAATATATAAACACACATTAGTAGGTTTCCTATAAATACTGAACTTAAAGATGTTACCTACTCTGTGGATCAGACAGTCTAGGACTGGTAATTTGCAGTCACTTTCTAATACCACAGTGAATTTGATCGAGACGGCTTAGTTGTTAAGTAGTGGTAGAAAGGCTTTTAAGTTTCCTATGTGGTTATCAGCATGTACATGGATCATGTGCACCAACAGTGATTTATTTGCATAGCCAGGAAGATGTGGCTACAGTGATGACTGCCGAGTCTAACTTGGCAACAATGCCACCAGCAATGTAAACATGCAAACAAATGGAAAATTAAATGTAAACCTTCATTTGTATCAGGCTTTTTAAAGCAGCATATATAGTGAATAAGGTTCTGCTCTTAATTTAGTAACATAAAGAAAGACTCTAAGGGTAGGGTAGGCAAGCCTACTGAGAGTATGTACTGGGTAACTATCATTCACCGTATTTGACCTGCAGTAATGCATGAATTTTAACCCTTAAAGAATACTATGGGTACCCTATATGGTTTGCCCCCCTAGTGTTTGCATAAAAACATTTATCATAAAAACTCAAACTGTACTTGAGTATACATACAGTCTCCTCTATTACAGACAAAAATAATACAACATTTTTGGTCATTTGCAGGAAGCCAGTCACATATAAAATCAACTGACCAAAGGGTAATACTACTTGCAGACTCAGTGTTTTTCATAATGGAGATATTGTACAGTGTTGTCTGTGATTCAATAAAAGTAGACAGCAAACACTGAAGCAGAGCAGAAGAAATTTTCCTGAAAAAAAAATTAAAACATCAGCACACTAAATTTACTAGAAGTAAAAGTGATTCTGATGAATTTGTTAATAACTCACTCATCACTAACACCCACACTATTGTAAACTGGGGCTAATTCAAACAGTAGGATAAGTTTGCAGAGAATCTGATAAAACACTGATGTGATCAAAACATTCCGTATATGAGACGTGTACAACTTGAGTGGACAAAACGTCACTTTTGGTCAAAATCGAGATTTATTCAAAGGGGGCAGGGAAACCACCTATGTATCCAACTGAAGTGGCAATATGTTCAATTTTGCTATTAAGTAAAACTACCTTTGCATCACTATGTGCGGGGCTGGCGGTGAGAGTGGTGGGCGGCAGATCAGACTGAGGAAAGTGTCAGAGGTTTCCATTTTTTGTGGCACTCTGTCCACTCTGGTCATACACACCTCATTTGTAAAACTTATATATTTAATGGTTAGGATCCATCTTACCCCTACATGAGGTCAGGTTCATCACTAGTAGTCTCAAAATTAAAAATCTCAGGCACCACAACCAAACTCAGAGGAAGTGACATACATTACAGGGCATCCTTGCATAAACTCATTTCAGTTGGAGTTGTTTCGTTACAGTGTTGCTGATGAATAATGTACCGGATCCATTTAAAGTCGCACTATATTCCATTGTAATGTAGCTGACTGTCATCTGCTAGAGCGCAACTACTTTGTGAGGAAGATTGAGGAGGACGCTAAACATTCCTGCCTCAATCTATGTGGTCACCGCTGTTGTTAACATTGTGCCCAGCAGCATTTGTGCACTGCAATTTTTGGATATATTCCCTTCATTATTTCTCCACACACACAGTACTGTACTATGAACTACAGGTTGACAATCCCTTATCCGAAATCCTTGGGACCAGAGGCATTTCGGATTTCGGAATTTTTCAGTTTTGTTAGGTTTTTTTTTTTTTTTATTATTAGCCCATCCAGGCACAAGTCACTGACCCACATTGGGGCCTGGGGGGCGAAAATATAATAATAATAATAATACAGGTAATAATAATAATTCATAGGTCTAGGTCGTGTTACTCACTTTTTATCATTTTTCATTCTTGTATTTCTTTATTATTATTATTATTATTACAGTATTATTATTTTATTAATACAGTATTATTGTTATCATTATTATTTTATTTTGGTGTATTTTTTAATTACAATTTTTATTTACTATGAATAATTACAGGTATTATTATTATAATTATTGTTATTATTATAATTAGTATTACTATTACATTTTCGCCCTCCAGGCCCCGAAGTGGGTCAGTGATCTATGCCTGGGTGAGCTAATCCCTGGAAAAAAAAAAATTGCTCCACAAAAAGCTTTCGGTTTTCAGAGCTTTTCGGTTTTTGGGATTTCAGATAAAGGGTTGTCAACCTGTATCTTAGGATGAATGTAAACTGCCCAGGAAGTGATAGTGATGCGGTTACAAGATGGGGGAAATCCATCAGTTCAGGTACCTGTACTAAGTTATATGACAAACTGTACTGTACACTCCCCAGTCTACTGCACCTTAACCAAATTCACAACCATCATTTCTAAGTCCAGCACAGTCACCCTCCATTTACATTTGTATTTTGTGCAGTTTCACTTATACACGGTCGAATAATTGTGACTTTTGTCTTTTGTACACTGTCTGGAATCATTTTTATACAGTTCAGCAGTGTACAAAAGAATTTATACCAAGTAAAAGAAAAATAGTAAATTAACTGCCTGTGTAGAAGCCAAAGATACCATGTAAGGTGAGGATTTACTGTTTATCCTTCTTATCAATTTCCTGTAACAATTGCACATGTGAATATACTTACAGCTAAAAAGACATCGGCAGCATAGTTGTCAGTGTCGGCATCCCACAAACACCGTGCACCAACCTTTACCCCCTCACCTCGCTGTTCACCAATTACGACATTCACGACAAACTTGTAGCGGGGTAGGCCAAGATCTGAAAATTGTAATCACTATTGAACTTTAAAAATATCTAAAGTTGTCAATAACATAAGCTGTATTAATATAAGGTGGGATGTTACAACAGAAAAACCTGATGCCAAATTCCATGAAGTACAGTACTAAGATATCGTTGGCAGTGACTAATCTACCAATGATAAGAACAGAAAGTTGAAAAGAATAGTTTTGTCAAACCTGGGGATATAGTTGACAGGACAGAGAAATTATTTAACTAGAGCCACTCTCAGGTTGTGGCAGGGACTTCGGGTAAGTAATCAACAATGGTAAGGGTCCTCCAGGAGAGTGTGGAGATTAAGGTCAATGATGTTATAAAGGAGGAATTACAGGACCATCTCAAATACAGTACAAAAAAAAACATATATTTATCTGAAAGTCAGTCAGACGTGGTTCAAAGTCATTATGTTACAATGGTACAGTATATAAATGATATATCAAATGAAACAGCAAATTTTACCATATATTATATAGGTTAAAAATTAATTTCCTTTAATTTGTAGTAATAAAAACAAAAAGTTCTCCCTATTATGTAAAAAAAATTAAGTTGCAGTTTAAAGCTTAATCTGATGATCACCCCTAAAAAAAAGCATGAAAAAAATGTAGCTTCCTGACCCTAACCAAAACAGCAAAGATTTTGTGGTGAATCTTTCACTCTCACTCTGAAATACTGTAAACACAGGAACTATAACATAATCCTTTATATAATGGGGTAAATAGGTAGGTGTTTATATTCAAATTTAGTTTCCTGACTGTAAATTTGTTAACAAGAACTCGTCTTATTTTTTCTTATACATAATTAACTTAAATTTCTGTAAATTCCATGTACAGGTATACTGTACATAATCTTCACACAACACTACGATTTACTTTAGTTTAAAATTACAGTGCTGTAAATTATACTAAAAAACCAAGTCATTTAAATTATTTCCACCTTAAATTTCAACTAAGGGAAAGCAGTATACAGTACACCTATACATATGGAATTTTGTTGTCAATGCTACACAGGACAGCTCCTCCACGACCTACTCGACTTATGACCACCCATACTTACGACCTGCCTCAGTTGTACCAAAATTTTGTCAAATTACTGTACGTATTTTTGAGTCCCAACGTCAGTACACACACAAAATTTTCGTTTGTAATTCACTTTAAAATGGCTGGCAAGCTTATAAGTGAGAGTTTTGTGGTGCTGAGAAGAAAAAGAGACCCATTTTAGATTTTCTATGTATTATTTAAGCATTTTCGACTTACGACCTGGATTTGGGTCTCTAACCCCATCGTAAGTCGGGGAGGAGCTGTATTCTCATGTCAGTAAGATTAATTTTACCAACCTAGAATTTTATCTCTGAGGTTTTCAGTCAATGATTTGCTCATTACCTCTGCAGCTTCCGCATTGTATACAAACCCTGTGAGCTTTTCCACCAAAGTGTTGTGAATTGCATCCCGAACCACACTGCTGCGAAACCTGAAAGCAGAGTTCTCATTAATCATGAATAAATGAAGATTTATTCTAACTGCCCGTTTGATGGTAGAAACTTGGTGACTCAAGAATAATATCCATGGATCCTGGATCGTAAGTTTGGTTTAACCTGTTAGATCTTGATCAGCCGACTCGTAACTTGACCTTCACCTGGGTCAGTACATCACCTAGTTGTTCAGTTCCAGTTAACCTCCATATAACCCAGTATCAGATCAATCTTTAAATTACTGGTACGTACTAAGCAATTCATAATTTCCAAAGCCAGTTAGAAAATGGGAAATGGCTGTGTACAATAAGTGTTATAACTGCTAACATGACATGTACCAGCTGTGCAGTGTTATGCTGGACTGTAAGGTAAGCTTTATCAACGCAATGATCAGCACCTCTTTGAAAACAGGAGTCCAAAAACCCCTTAGATAGGACACTGATTCACTGATGTAGAAAATGTCTGCTTCTCACTCATGCAAGCTCGTTGAGACATGCAAAACTGATAAATATTGAATTTATAGTGAAATTCCGTGTTTTACCCCACAGGAAGAATACTTCAACCAAAAGAAACTTCAGTATGGTAATCAATCTTTGAAAGGTAAATATTCATTACCAACATCAAAAATACAGTACATACTGTACCAATCCTTTGGCAATTCTACCAAAGTACTGTACAAATTCCATATCGAAGACACGAGTAAACAATAAAATAAATAAAGCAGAAAATCCAAACATGGAGCTTACAAACTTTGGGACAGGACATAATTATTTCCCTTACCACTTACTGCCACAAACTCAACAAAGGTACTGTACTGTACTGTACTGTACCTGTATAATTATTGGCAGAACTGTACTGTAAAAGAAAAGGGGACCATACCCAGTTATACCTTTTTAGAAGAAATCGAACTATATTTCAACCTCTTTACTACCTGCAGCATTTGTGGCAGAAGTGGCACAGGTATACTGTACCTGGTTCTATTTCAGTCTGCTTATGCCATAAAAAATGGTCACTGCTATTTTAATGTACGAGGTGAAATCAAAATGTATCAGCAATGTTTTATCCTAATTCACACTTATATTTTACAAGATTGGGAAAGGTTTCATTTTTAATAGGTAATGACTGCTGTTCAAAACACTTGGTCCATCAGTGCACAAGGTCTTGTATTCCATCAGATAATAATAATTTATGGCTGGCCACAAAGCCATGCACATACTACCTTTCAAAACTTCTTTCAGAGGTTGACACAGTAATTGATGTTGCATGCTTTGCTGTTTCAGTTTGCTTTTAAGCTTGAAATGGTAGTTTTCTTCAAGGTATCACGCAATTTGATTGATCGTTACTCTCCTGCCATTGAAAACCATCAGGACACATCCTATGTTAGTGTCTAAAATTACAAGAATACTCACCTTTCAGCAAAGTCAAAGCAGGAGTGCGTAAGGTGTGACTGGAGTCTGAAGTTGTTGTTCCCCATGGAGTGTGTTATAGCTCGTCAACAAATAAATGAAGCAGTATTTGTTATTATTGGCACCAGACTTGCTGATAATACAGAATTGCTTGATCTAATAAATTATAAAAGGTGTACAAATTATTGGTTTGAAGATTTAGGAAACAAATGTAGGAATCACACATTTGTACAGCAACATGTACTGTCCAGGGATCACTTACTGGTTGATCAGGCATCCTCACTAAATACAATTATTGTATAAAGTTTGGGCCTGTGTACTATCAGACATGCACACTGCTGAGTTCCATTTACACTCTTGCAGCATCACTGATTTTCAGAGCCAAACATCCCAGAATGCTGGAAAACTGGATCAAGAAATACAAGAGACAGTAAGAGTAGTGGGCAAGGAAATTACAGTGGATTATAACAGGTGTAAAGGATGTGTATTATGGGCAGGTATAAGTGTGGTGGTGTAACTGAAGCTTAAGTAAGCTGCTCAATGGGAGAATGGAAGATTATAGGGAAGTTATCCCTTTTGCTCACAAATATGCTTGTGTTAGTTTCCTCCTGTAGAGCAAAACACCTTGACCTTTAAAAAAATAATATAGCAGCCTATGAGCAATGACCAATAGTTTCTGCTGATTCAAAAAATGAGGCATGACCAACTTACTTATCCTTGAGGTCGGGCCGAATTTGAAAGGTGGCATTCTGGTCGGCCACTGATGGACTTGCCATTATGAGAATTAGCTAACAAACTTCTTGTCTTTTAGGATCTACAACGGTTACTACGGTAACTCTCTTCTCTTCTCATCTAGCACATGACTGTACTCCGGTGTCTTGGGCTGCCTTATGTGCTTGTGATTCTAAAAATATTTATTCTTCTGTAGATTCTATTTTTTTTTTCTATATTTCTATTATTTATTGATTACTCCTTCCTCTTCTTTTCTTTTGGACTGTGAGGTCTATTTGCTGCTATTCATATCTGTAACATGGATATATTTCACTAATTATTATAGTATACAGTAATATAGTATACAGGGAATAAAAGTAACAATATAATTCAATCAGTCAAGGTGCCATCCTCTTACTCCAGCTGTCTTTGTTACTCCTCCCTGATTTTGCATCTTCCTACCATCCAAGTTTATGAATTCCTCTGACCTTCCAATCCTCAATTTCATCCATTAATACTTCTATCACTGTCCCTTATCTGCTCATAATTGTATTTTTTACCATATCAAGTAAGTACTGTAGTTACCTACTTTATATGGTCAAAAATACAGTATGTACAGTACAATATTTCTTATTCTATAAATTTCTAGTTTTTATTTATTGAACTAAAATGTCCCTGTCTAACATACAGTATGGTCTGCATTTACGCGGTCAATTGAACCCGTGGAGGTCCACGTAAAAAGAGGAAAGCGTAAACAAAATTACAGAACATATGGGATTAATTGAAATAGAGACTGGGCCGACTCCTAAACTCCACTTTTTCCCATACAATACGTATGTTGTAGTAAAAATAACATCTTAATTTTATGATGGTATGCACACACAATTAATATTTAAGAGAAATATCAATAATAATAGGTTTTTTAACACTTACGTTAGAAGAAAAGATGGCTGGTTCTGAGGCAGAGGGCAGATTATTGGCCCTCACCTGTATCACTTGTATCAATTGTATCACTATCCACCACAGAGGCTTGCAGAGCCTCTTTGTCAAACCCCTCAAAGTCCATATTCTCACTATCACTATCACTGACTTGGGCCAGCTGTGGTAGGTGGCGGGTGAAGAACTCGGTAATGTTTTGATGACTGGGCGACCTTGTGCGCACCCTGCCCGCGCCGCTTCCCGAGTAAATGATGAAATTTACCGCGTAAATCCAGACTATACTGTATACTATCTTAAAGAATATTTTATGAAATTTTTACATCACTTATTCTTGTTTTAATTTCTCTTTCACATCACAGCTTATGTTTTGTCCCAAATACTGCACACAAAATTATCTCATTGTTTGAGTTCCATGTTGCCTACCATAATTTCTCATTCTGGATATATTTCTAATGTGATATAAACTATTACAGTTCTGTACTGTATTAACTCTAAAGCATGTACACTTCTGTACTCCTTGCCTTTTTCCACTACAGTAAGCTAATAACAAATTTTTGTAATGACTTAACTATTTGCAAAAAAAAACTCATCTTCTCCATATTTATTCAACCAGAAACAAACGTCGCAGACTCGGGGAACGTGCCACCATCGAATGCTGAATGTAAATAACGGTTAAAGTTACATTATGCAAATCATACTTCTCGTGTACTTTTTTTTTTATTTCCTGAGATAAGAAAACTTTTATCTTCTATGGAGAAATTTCCTCAAGTTGGTGCTTTGTCACGACCATCAAGTATTACACATCTTACTATGAAGAAGCCAGTAAGCTGCCCCGGAGGTGTGACACAGCCTAACACATGTCGGTATTATTTTAATTTCGGACATAGCTCCCCCGAAAGTTATAAACTACTGGATCATTTAGATCTTGCTATTCTGGGCATTTTGAAACCCATTTATACTTGGTGGAAATGGATAATCGCGACAATTTAATTTAATTGATTTTAAGTAGTTTTCAGTCTTCTTCTGTGAGGAGATGTTATCTGCGCATCACGCATGTGCAATGTTGACTGATGTCATCCAGTCGTGACTAATGAGGTATCAATATCATCACACAAATGTTTTTTGACCAATCACATTTGATTTTCTCAAAGGAAGCAGCCTGGGTATGATTTTAATTTCATTGACCAGTTTCATAATGGCCGTGGTGGAGGTTGGTTGCCGTTGTGCTCCAACGATTATTTTAAGTTTATTGCCGAGTTTTACGAGAAAGACGATTACTCTATCCAATTCTTACGTATCCTGGCCCTTCCACTTCTAACTAAAGTATTGTACTTTCGGACATGGTGCACCCCAATGTTTTAAACTACTGAAACATTTAGGTTAGTTTAAGCTAAGCCTACCGAGGGTCTGCCCCCGGCTAGGGGTCAGGTTATGCCTATCGGGGGTCTGGGGGCGGAGCCCCTGGCTAGGAGTTAGATTAAGTTTTATTAGGTCAGATGACTCGTTTTCATTTTCAATTCCCCACCCAAAAACCCTGATTTCCAAGGCTCTCCCCCATTATTGTTGGGGGGCGGGGGGGGGGGCAAAAACTAGCAATTTCCGCCCCAAATGAAGGTCAGATTCGTTTAAAACACACCAAAATACACTGGATAAACAAATTGGTCAGCCCCTACTTTTTACTTTTTTTGACCACTAAATTACGAAATATACCAACCGACACCTGAGGCGACACAAGTTTACCACTTTACTCCTTGAAATGTTGTTTGTTGACTACCACCAATAATTGAGGTACAAGACGATGACAATAGAGATCAGAAACTGTTTAGTGCCACAGAAGGAGAACCTGATCCTCCTTCAGGTCGGATCTGTCGCCATGGTAACGAGCATATAGTATACAATGGATGTTTTATTATATGAGTTTTATAATCATATATATCAATTTATATTATATTATTGACTTATTGTATGTTATTTATAAGTGATTATGATTCAAGATAAAACACCTGATGATTTGGTCGCTTAAGTTACTGTTTATAATGAAAGTGATTAATTCTAGTTTTCTTAATAAAACGAAATATATGTTCACCTTTCGTATTATAATATGAGAAATATGTTAAATATAATTTTATATATTTTATTATATCACTAAATAGAAAAAAAGTTAAAAGAGTATGATTACAATTTTGGGAAAGATGAGAATTACTAGCCGGAGTGTATGGTTGCTTCACCCCGCCCCAACACCCTACTGTGCCATCCTGACGTGTTATAACTTACAATTAATCTATTATGGGAAGTGTAGACAGAGAAAACTTATATCAGGTACAGGTGGGTTCCTTATTACTGTATAATTACGTGTAGGTGATAGGATAACTCATGGTGTACAACAAGATACACGTGTTTGAGGTGTCACTACCATACTGACCCTATACTGATGCTCGTAAAACACTAGAGAAACGGCCTTTGTGTATTTAGTGATTATTGTCAGTTGGGATATATTACTAATACAGTCGTCTTCATGTAAATCATGTTGAGGGGCAAGGAGAAACTATTTGACTATAACTGGTAAAGTGGACCAGTCATAGGTTGACCTAATGAGTAACGCTTAACACTGATAATGTTCTCTAAAACACCTGAGAAAAGGTAAAATTATCGTTTCGGTCATGTAGCGAATTTTATAATTTATGTTTTGCAGTCAATAATTTAGACAATTCTAAGACACTTTTCTTTTATAGCACTTCCATTGGAAATTATAAGTTTAGGTTAATATATAGGACTAACCCGCCGGGGCTGCACAGCGCCGATGCGCTGTATCATCTCATGTCCAGAATATGCCTCAAATTTCACTATATCATAGTAAGTTCTTTCTGTTTAATATACCGGGGAAGTTAGGTAAGGTTAGGTAGGTTTGTTTGGTTTGGTTGGTTAGGTCTTCTTCATACACACAAATTTTAAGTAGTGTTTATTTTAAAAATATCAATTTTTTACCATATTTCCACAAACTACAACAGTGTCCACTATAATGTAACAAAGAAAATCCGTCATTTTTATAATTGTTTTCAATCAATTTCGCTCACTGGTTAGCCCTATACAGTATGATTACCTATTTTTTGTTTTTTAATTGATAAAAATACCAACTATATTACTTGTTTAAAGTGGGCAGGAATAAAATACTCAGAAACACTTTATAATGATAAGAACATCTGTGGAAAAAATTAACAAAATTGAACAACTCTTTCTGGTTAAGTATGTTTATAGCTACACAAGGATCGACTCACGGCCAAATAAATGTCAAATGCTGCCAGTCACGGTCACATATCGTTCTCACATAGTTTACTGGTAATGGACGATTAGCCAATCAGAGCGCACTCACGGTAAAATAGCATTAGTAGGAACTTAGCCGGTCTTGGCAAAATATCCACTGCCTAATTTATCGGTTAAAAACTGACCAGGTCCAGCATGGGAAGACCTGAAATGTCTTGAGTTGGCACCATAGTATCTCCAGTGCTGCATACTTATTAAGATATTTTAGGATTTTTCTTATGTAAATTGAAACATGGGAACAAGAATTCAGGCAGTCCCTGAGCTACGACCATCTGACTTAGGATCATCTGCACTTATGAATGTATAAAAAATTTGTAATTAAAATCCCATTTTTTACATTGTTGCCATTACTGTGTCTATATTGTTTAACATCACTTTTTTTTACAGTATTTTCATTACAGTATTTGTTATGTTTGGGTTATTATTGTTGTTTTGTAAGGGCAGGGTTGTGCTTTAACCTAAACTAAACTATGGAATTAACACTGTTGTGACTTGCGATCAGGGTCCAGGAACGTATCCCTGTTGTGAGTCGGGAGCTGCTTGTATATTTCTTGTAACTTTGGATTTTTGTCAACCAGATCTTCATAAATCGGGGATTGCTTGTGCTGTATGTAGGTGCTATAGAGCTGCACTAAGGTCTGACTATAAATTGTTATTTAAAAAAAACTAATGAAATAATGGATAATATAAAAGCTCTACAGCATCTATAAAATGTTACTGGTACATTATTTGTCTCCCCTTTATTTGTTGTTTCATATACAAGTATGTACAGCAGTTAGAGTATTCACCATTTATGTTTCATATACGAGGTCTGTCCGGAAAGTATCCAGCCATTTACTATTAAAAAAAATATTGCTTACCTAAGACAATGGCACCTTAGTCCCCTTCAAAGTGCTCCCCTTGGGACCTCACTCACTTCTCCCAGCGTCCCTTCCACTTTTCAAAACAGTCTGCAAAGTCCTCTTTCGGGATCTCCATCAGCTGCCTCGTCGCATTTTCCTTAATCTCGTCCACGGTCTGAAATCTCCTCCCTTTCAATGGCGATTTTAGCTTTGAGAAAAGCCAGAAGTCGCAGGGAGCCAAATCTGGGCTGTAGGGGAGCTGAGAGACCTGGGTGATGTGATGTTTTGCCAAAAAACCCTGCACGAGACGTGAAGAATGGGCAGGCGCGTTGTCATGATGTAGCTGCCAGTCGCCACTTGCCCACAGCTGCGGTCGTTTTCTTCTTACCGCATCCCTCAGCCGGCGAAAAACTTCGATGTAGTACTCCTTCGTTATTGTTTGGTCTGGACGAGATTAAGGAGAATGCGACGAGGCAGCTGATGGAGATCCCGAAAGAGGACTTTGCAGACTGTTTTGAAAAGTGGAAGGGACGCTGGGAGAAGTGTGTGAAGTCCCAAGGGGATTACTTTGAAGGGGACTAAGGTGCCATTGTCCTAGGTAAGCAATATTTTTTTAATAGTAAATGGCTGGATACTTTCCGGACAGACCTCGTAATACTGCATTCGGTTCTGTACTTGCTGAGGCAGAGTAATGCCAACAGTAGGACTGTACAGTACTAGCTATAGGGATTAGGTTATTGGGGTCCCACTTTGAGCACATTCTTTTGTTTTATCACCATTAGTTGTGTATGTGTTGTCTTCACCAAACACCCAGCCATTGTTCACAACTACTGTACTGTATTTCTCTGCCATCACTCTGCTGCAGCACATCCATATTTTACCTCTGAATTAGTTAGTTTTCCTTACCTTTTATGCTCAGGCAACAAAATCACTTACTGATTGTTTTGTACTCATGTTTGCAGTGTTGTCAGGGTTTAATGTATGAAAATATGTGATATATTACGAGACACAACTGGGTCTTGGCCAAAGTGGCATCAATGTTAACATTGATGCTAAAGTACTGTATATATGTGGCAGTGTGATAAGTGTTGTGTGTCATTACGCAGTTGTTCATACACATTATCATCTTAATATATTTCATTCTTTCATTTCACGATTATTTTAGTAAATCAAAGTACTGTATAAGGGATAAAATCAGTACTGTAGGTAGATACTGTACAGTACTATATGCAGATAAATGATTGGTGATTGTTTCTTGCAGGATATAGAGGGAAGCAGTAGTGCGGTGACAACTCCAGGCGATGTCATGACCACCACATCTGTACAGTTAGACACTCCCACCACACCCCTACCACCACCTTCTCCACGAACGGTGATTATTCCTAATAATATGTTTCTTTACACTGCCTTGAGAGTTTAAGGCAAATAACTAGGAGTTGGTGGGAGGATTTGGCTAGATATTTTGTTCTAAGTATTGGTACTTACATGTTGTACCATTCAGATTACTGTACTGTACTGTGTTGTGAAATATTTCTACAGAACACCATTGTGTATACCGGTAATAAGGATGGTTAAAAAATATTTATAACCTTTTGTCCATTTTGGGTGACTCACATTGTGCATTCAACTAAATCTACAAGGTTCGAACAAATAATTACTCTTTGAAATACAGTTTAGTGTACTTAGAACTAATGAAATTACTGATAAACCCTTCCAGCAGTAGCCATCATCCTGAAAGAGGGCTTAGAGATAGGTGTTGTCATTTAAAGCAGAAGGCTAATCAAGTCTTGCAGTGCAGCAGTAGTGTGCATCAATCCTACCAGGTGTGTGATTTTAACCTGAGGTAACAGCAACAACCCAAACTTCATTCACAACCATTTCCTCGCTGGGTGCGGGTATGTCTGCTGTGCATACACTGACTCCAGCTGGGTGCAGATAAATGTTTAAGTATCTATTTTTAGCACTAGCAAAGGTTTAATTATGATTGAACATATACTGTACAGTATTGACTGCATTTGATAAGGAAGGAATCTTTCTATAGGGGGAACACACTACCTTATATCTTTGGGATGCCAAAGTTTTGGTATGATTCACTATGATCTCATTGCCAAGTCATTGTGAGTGACCAATTTAGATCCTACTGTTTAATCCCAGATAGGCCATAACAGTAAGTAACTCAACCTATGGATGATGGAATACTGGTTTACAGTGCTAGATATTCACCATGTACTGTACTGTACCAGAATTTTCTTCACCTATTCCTCAAGGTGGATGGATGAGTCACCATGGTTATAATAACGGATATGTTTCATCCCTTTCCTCACTTTTACGCTTCATGCAGTATGGAAACTGAGGCTGTGTTGTGGTGTATCTTGTAGAGTAATCCCTATTATGGGATAGTGGGTTCTCAGGCCACTTCAACTTGGCACAAATCCTTTACCTCCAACCATTCTGTCAGAGAGTAAGTAAAACTGTTATATAGGTTATATAGGGTGTTCTAAGGATGCACTTTGGTTAGTGTTAAGTTACAGAGCATTTATACCAAGTGGTTACTATAGGAATCATCGAACCATGTAGGTAAATGGGAACTGGGAATAGTGTTTCAGAACTTGGAGCCTCTACACTCGCCTGTCAATAATGTTTTGCCTTGGTTAACCTGGCTTTGTCAGGGTCATACCCAGTGAATGGAATTTTCCCAATAACTTTGCTAAAATGTAGTATCACACAAAGACTGCTTACCTCCAAGATACATCCTGTTTATCTTATAATATTCAGTAATTCTGTTGACCTGTGGTCAATTGTGAATGGTGTATCTTGTGATAGGTAAAGAAAATTTTTTGTATTTGTGGTTTTGACAATACTGTACACAACTGGTATCTGGAACTGTATAAATAGGTCTTCAGAATTTCTCAAAGCAACTCGTGCACCTGACAAGAATGTAGTTAATCTGGGTTGTTGTGCCACCTGGCACATACAGAATCAGTTATTTTAGTATTGAGTAATGAATGATTTGCAACCTGTTCAAAGATTTAATCTGTATACGTACAGTATTTATTTGAAATTTTCTCTTGTTTAGCTTCTTAAGGGTTGCTGGTTTACACCTGAGAAGTCCAGTTGTGAGTAGGTACCCAACTTTACAGTTAAGGGAGTGGAGACAGTTGAGCATAGTGCTGGCCACACTACCTCCCCCTTCACTGAATTCTTAGCATTCAGTGTGCTGTATTTACATTGTCCCTATTGCTTACCAAGATTGTAGGAAACACTTTCACAGTATAGTATATTATCAAGGTGGAGGATAATTTATGTCCATTGGTCTCATATTGTTTAAGTAAATGTCCATAGATGTTCATAAGAAAATTTTTAAGGGAGTTCGCCTAACAATTGATTTTTAAAGAACAGTAACTGTCGTAAATTTTCTTATTCTCACAGGAGCAGGTGATCTTCCTTGATGATCATCTACACATCTCAGATGTTCTTGGTTTTTAATTTAAGTTGGTCCAGCTCAGCGCTGACTACAAGGTGAACTTCATGCTGAGAATTAAACACCAGAATGGGTCTGCTCTTAAGGAAACATTGATATTGCTGTGTACTGTTTCATTTGGTCCAGCACAGCTGAAACCAAAAGCCTGAGGTTATGTGACTGATGAAGGTTTGATACAATTGGCATTAACTTGTTGATGACACTTTATTGATCATTTTAATGTTCCCATATTTATGTTTTTTGTTTTTATTTTATTTTTGCATATTGTTAAAAACATCTGTCTGTGATGTTTTTGTGATCCTTTATTTCATTGTAATGCATGTTATCGGCTTTTTTTAATATATTCAAGCACATTATTTATGTTGTTTTTGTGAATCCTTCTTTGATTGTAGTAAATATAACTGTAAACATTATTTATGGTTTCTTTAATACAGTACTGTACTATACATTGTTTTATATAATTGTGATATATATTACCATTGTGGAGGATACATGTACAGTACAGTACAGTACAGTGGTATATTAATGAGGATCCCTCTAATCAGTGAGGAGATTATTATTCCCCTTCATTTAAGGATGTTTAGCTGTTTAGAGATGTCTGCCCATTTTTATGTACAAGATCTTCCATAATGTTATATTTATTTATCTATTTTTCCATTACTCACTTTTATTTTGTATCCTATATTGTACCTTTAATTTAGTTCTGTACTCAGCTAGTAATTGTGTGGAGTTACACAAGACAAGGGGAGACCTGTGGGATCCCATCAACCTAGTGGAGTTTCTCCACTAACTTTACAACTGTGTATTGTTTACATACAGATCATTTACTGTACTGCCTAGGGATGACCTGTTTCCTTATCCATACCCTATGGTCGCTCGCAAATATGTACAGCCCCAGAAGGTGAGCCTATCTGGTGAGTCTATGGGCTCATGTAAAAGAGTCCTGGTGGTTTGTATGACCAGGAGTAGATGTCTCCATGTGTGTATGGTTTGTCCAGCTCGGAGTCTTATTACCAGCTTGGAACCGTGGGTGGTTGACAGTCAGAAGGACTTGGGTTCTCAGGCTAGAGGTGACTGTTCGGTACAGTTTATTGAGATTTATTCTTAAGATTTATCTCTGAGAAAGTTATTACATAACTACTGTACCGTACCTAAGGATGGTTAAGTTTTCCTATATTATTATGTATAATGTGTTTGAAGTTTATGATTGTTTTTGTAATGAATATATTTATCCCTCTCTTATACCTCAAATGGTGCTTTACTTGTTACTTTTAATACTGTACTACTATATTGTAAGAAATGCTTTACAAGTTAAGTAAAACTATATAAAACACAGTTTCTCTTGAAGTGCATGTATTATCTGAAGATACATTCCCGGCTTAAGTTTTTCAGCTCCATAACATATCACAAACATAAGAAGGGCTTCCAGATGTTAAACTTGCTTCAAATTTGTCAGATTACAATCAAGATACCATACCATCAGGATATCACAGCTGACCCATGCAAGTGTGGAAAATGACCATTAAACAGTGATGATGGTGTGATGTATACAGACTTACAGTATACAGTACAGTTAAAAGAAGTCAACAATTAAAATTAAAATTAACACGGACCTCGGTAAAGCACACAAAGGACAAAGCAAGTCTCGGTCCTCACCAGACACAACCTCAGCCCTCACAAATTTATTTAAGTTGTATACTTCTCAAGCACATTTGTCAACTGTGTTTTTATAAATCAATGTTCAATGAAGGCTTGACTGGTGGTGTTACCTGGTCAGCACGGTGATGAGGACATTGAAGCTTGGTTAACACTTTGATATACTGTACTGTCAAAGAACAGTTGAGGAGTCCTTTTAATTCTGTGGTTAAGATAAAGTAAAAGAAAATTAGAAGCAAGAGTTGCTATATTGAGACCCAAGTAAAATGTGCTACTGTACCTGGAGCAAACTCTTAACTGATGCCAATTTTTACCACATTCCCCCAGTTACATTCAGTGGACATGGGGGGGGGGGGGTGACAAACATCCTTGTTGCCAATCCTTGATCTCAATAACACCGGTCAACACAATTTTTCTGGCACAAGGTTTTTAAACGGATTTTAAGTAAATTTGGGGTGCAGAATCCAAATATGACTTTGGTTTTTGTCTATCACATCAGGTTTTTGAGATATACCATATTGCACTTTTGCTGGGAAACGTAAACTTTTGGATCAAAATTGACGGTTTAAACATGTATACATAAATTTTTTCAGCATTATAATTTGTATTTTTCTATAACCAAAAATTTTTAATATCAAATTGGAAAGTTAATGCACATATAATATTTAAATGTAACATTGAAGGGTGAAAAAAAACAATTAATGTACGGTAGAAATAGTGCAAGTATTAAGATCAAGTTACAGTTACATAAACTTCCTCTTTTTGGCCGATCTCTTATGTACAGCTTCTGGAATGTCTCTCATCAAACTCCAGCAGTAGTCCGCCATCATGTTCGAGTCCCATCGACCTTGGTAACGTTCTTCCATTACTTTAATGTCTTGATGAAAGCGCTCCCCTTGCTCCTCGCTCACTTCTCCCAGATTTTCTGGAAACTCGTCCAAGTGACTGTGTAAGTAGTGAACCTTGATACTCATTCTGCATCCAAGTGCTTGTAAACTCAAGAGCAGCTCTTCCACAATTTCTTGATAGTTGTCCGCTTTCTTGTTCCCTAAGAAGTTCCGCACCACATTAGAGAAAGCATTCCAAGTTCTTGCCTGTGCCTCAGTCATTGTTGCAAGGAAGTGTGGATCTCTGAGTAGTGTTCTTATTTGAGGTCCATCAAAAATCCCTGCCTTTTTCTTCTCGTCGCTAAGACTTGGAAAGGTTGAGCATATATATCTGAAACACTCTCCACTATGATCAAGAGCCTTGACGAATTGCTTCATGATACCAAGTTTTATGTGCAGAGGAGGAAGGACAATGTTTTTCCTGTCAACCAGAGGATCGTTAATGATATTCTTGTCACCAGGCGTCAAACTATGTCTTGGTGGCCAATTCTTTTTCACCCAATGGTCTGCTGTAGCCCTGCTGTCCCAGTAGCACAGAAAACAGGGGTATTTTGTGTACCCTCCTTGCTGGCCCAATAGAAAGTTTACCATTTTCAAGTCCACACAAATTAACCATTCATGAGCATGGTATTGCAACCTCTCTAGAACAGTCTTAATGTTTTCATACTCTTCTTTAATTTGTACAGAATGTCCGATTGGAATTGAACCATACTTGTTTCCGTTATGAAGAAGAACACATTTCAAGCTCCTTTTAGAACTGTCAATAAAAAGTCTCCAATCCTTACTATCATATGCTGGTAGTCCCATGGAGAGAAGAAGTCCTTCTACATCATTACAAAAAACAAGCTGGTCATATGAATGAAAGTACTTCCGCAGTTGCTCTTCTCTGTTGCGATAAAAGGAGACACTCGTGCCAGGTTTTAAGAGTCGTTTCTCTTTAAGCCTGGAAGCTAACAATTCAGCAGACTGTTTTGGCAAATTTAGATCTCTGACCAGATCATTCAATTCTGACTGAGTAAACAACTTTGGCTTTTCACAATCTTCACCAGATGGCTTGAAAAGATCAGTCTCTTCATCTTCATCAGTAGAAACAGGTGAATTCCGGTCTATGTCCTCAATCTCTGGTAGCTCAGTAAATTCTGGCACAGGTATTTCTTCACTGTGGGGAACTGGTCGTATGGCTGATGGGATATTTGGGTATTGCAGGTATTGTTTGTTTTTCTTTTTGAAACCTTTAACATTGACGAGGCAGAAGTAGCAGTTATCTGAATGGTTTGTTGGTTCTCTCCAAACCATAGGCACGCCAAACTGAAGTCTAGCATTCTTTCTTTGAGACCAGGATCGCAAAGTTTCCAGGCAGGTTTTGCACACTTTGTGAGGAGCCCAACTTTTGTCCTGGTCTCCAAGTGGTACTTTAAAGTAAGCGAGGTACACTCTCTTCACAAAACTGGTGATGTTGCGCCTTTGACTTTTCAAAGTAAAGCTTCCACAGATGTAGCAGAATATATCTGGGTCATTGCAGCAATTCCGTCTTTGGGATGTTGAAGCCATTGCCAGGTTATCAGTTTTCACCTGAAAATGATAAAAAAGAGGAGTTAGATTTATTACAAGTTCAAAATAACTATGTTATATAAATTAACCACCACAATTTTTAGACACGAACCTGCAAAAAACTCTGAAAACGGAATTTTTGGTGAAATCCATCAAAATAGGGAATACCGATAGCGCAAAAACGTTACGTGATGGAGCAAATCTGAGATCAGATTTGGATTCAGCACCTTAAAGTTAGTAAAAAACAGTTAAAAGGTTTCATGCCAGAAAAAAAAATATTTTTTTGTAGACCAGTGTAGTTATTCCATCATTCAAAGAGTCATAATATATGGTATTTAATTTGGTGATATTACCGTACAATATTTGCATGATTGTAAGCCACAGGGTTAGTTTTGGACATATTTCATGTACTGCACCATCATTTTAATCCTTTAGCTGAGGCTGTGAGAAATTATTCTACTGTTGTATGTATGTGAAAAATATACAAGCAAAGAAAAAGTTACCTGCTGAGATGTTATTCATTAAATAGTTATTATTTCTTCGTTAAGCATCTTGTAGGCAATAGAAGTTACAGACCGTACAGTATTTGGGGAATATAGAGGTACAGGATTTTAATATTTACTCTTTATCACTTTTTCAATGTCACCACTGTATTCAGCATTAAAAAAAATTGTTTTTCGTGCCTAAATTGTTTGCTGGTGTTTGTGGAATTGTTTTTCGCGCCTAAATTGTTTGCTGGTGTTTGTGGAATAAATACCAATTCTTTTGATTTGTTAACATACAGTAAGGTTACACTTAACGAGCAATATGCAATCTTGAAAGAGTGTTCGTGAGGTAAATTCTTCTTCAGGGGAACCCATTTCCCCATACCAACATATGTTAAAAGCTGAAATGTGTTCCAGCCCAAACAGTTTTGACTCCAAACCCCATGGTATAAATTTAGATGTAGTTTGCAATCCCCCCCTAAATTGACTCCCTAATCTAAAAAGATTAAAACATTGTGTACTGTACTTGTGTACTTACCACAAATAATATAGAAATAATAAGAACTGAGCGAACAAGGATAATATTGTACACATTCCACAAGGTAAAGAGCACTGATAAGAGCTGCAAAGTTGTCTAGGCTCACCACCTAGACAAGACTGGGACACATGACTTCACCTCAGAATGTAAAAAATGAGGCTGAGTGCACTAGTCTGGCTGCCTAATCAACCAGTGACAAATTATGACTAGCTCTACTTCAAGAATGATCATGCAAGCTGCTTCACTCATAATTGTGCTTGCTAAATCAAAAAGAAGTTTGTTCATTGAATCTTCATGCCCTTAAATACAAAACTGGTTAAATAAAATCCTCAGTCAGTAGCTTCAATTACAAAAAATGCTCTTTTAACAGGACAGTCACTTTTCAAATTAGCAATTGTGTCGGAGAAATGAAAACTGACACTCACGGTCTAACACTAAGGGGTAAAAAAACAACCACTTCTCTCCTGGTGTAGCAAGCTTGTTAATACATTGTCTGACCTTGACCAGATAAAGCCACCCAACAGATAATTTACATGATTCATCAGTTTTTGTAAGGTCATAAATCTGATGACTTCATAATAAGTACATTACAGAAAGTGGTTTACTCTCACTGGCTGAACCTCTTATAGACACTTTTATCTGAATCCAGAAACTTAAGATTTTCTTGCATTCATTCACTTTATAATTCCTGTACTAGGCCCTAACCCAGTGAAAGATTTCACTATCTGTTCCTTTAGGAGCTTTAAATCATAGACTGTATATACTGTATTTACAGTAAAGTAATCTTACTTTTGGTGTGTCACTGCTAAATTAGAACCATGTCTTGGCTGGGCCTTGCAGTCTTCGTCACAACCAGTGTCACAGATTGTCAGTAACTTCCGTCTGCTCCACTGCATGTACATTATTTCACTTGTTGGTTTATATTCATTGTGTACACTAAGATATGTTTTGTAACAAATTAAAACAAAATTCCCATAGGAACATATCTCGTCTTTTATAATGGTAGTGTATGGGAAAATGTGATCCACTTTATGAAAGGTTTTCAAGAACAGAATTCTTTAATAAGCCAGAAAATGCCTGTATGTAATTACAAATATGAAATGTTAGTTGTGACATCCAGTACATGTATATTAATGTGGGATATATTGACAGATAACAACAACAGATGACATCCCTCCTCTATATGAGCCTTTGGCACCTCTGTCAGTATCCACACGGATAAGTCCTTTTGAGCCGAACATCGGTCCACCTCCGTCATATGATGAATGCCACAACCTCAATGGTATGGAGATAACTTTTCATAGAATGTTCATTCAATTGTGGTTACATGAATCTTCATGAATTTTATTATATTTTTAATTTAGTTCATCTTTACCCAGTGATGCCTTAAGACAATACTGTATGTGATTTATAATAACACATCTATTTATTTATAGTATTACACAAGGAACTGCAGTCATTCATAATATCTTTCTTCAATCTTTTTATTATAATTATTTGTCTCATACTTTTGTTGGGGTGGTTCATAGCATAGAAAAACTTAGTTCCTTTATTGTACTGTTGTGGTGTCCAAGTATGCAGGGTTTACTGTACTGTATTACTATGTCAGTACCATCTTGCTTTTTCTAAATGACTCCTGGGTGTTTACCTCATAGACTTGTCTCAGTATTATGTAAATCTCTTGGTTCATTTGATTGGAATTTATTTTACTTTACTTAATCCTCTTTGCCCTTGGCCAGCTCCACTACCCAGTCAGGCAGTCTATCAGTGCACTTTTACACATTGTTGGCAATTACTGGGCATGTATAAGCTCTTGACTGTACAGTACTGTTCCTTGAACATGTGCCAGTATTGGTCAAGTCTGATATGATATAAAATGAAGTCACACTCCTTGCTATCACAACCTTTATATTTATCTCAAATTAAATGATTAACCTTTATGATCAGTGTACATCATGGGACATCCATGTCCTATTGATAAAATATTCTTGTGAGTCTTTTTATTCCTAACCATAATGTCTACTTTGTTCTTGTAATTTTTTGTTTTTTTTGTTTTTGCAGATCCTCCCCCAACATATGATTCTCTTTTTGGAAGAGTACGAGAAGTTCATAAAACTTCTAATGGTGTCATCGACTTCATTAAAAATATAATAGTTCTCTTTGTAGGAACAAGTGAGTATCTGTTTTTTTTCATGCATATCCTGCGGTAGTGATCTACCCCCTGTGCTATAATGTGACAGGTATATATGTTGTTAATGCCTCTTGTCTACAGTAATATCTTACATGTACCTGTAACAATCCCTTACCAGTTGAAACAAACTTAAAAAATTGCATTTGAGATAAAGGTAAATAGGGGGGAAGCACAGCAGTGTAGTAATTGTTTCCATTAGAAAATAATATTTAGGATGACATGATATTCTCATAACTGGCCTTATTACACTAATAAAATGGTTGTTTGTCTTGTGTTTCAGTTGGTTGTACAGTGATGATCAGTGTAACCATAGTGATCCCTATCTTCATGATCATTGTAGGCTCCCTCAAGATGGATGAATGCCCAGCAGAACCCTTGATTCCTGTTTACCTTGTTGTTGGAGGTAAGAACTCAAATTCATTAGGTACTGTATGTGGATCATGGAATTTGGTGTGTTTTTTTGTTTTGTTTTTTTATAATAATCTACAGGTCATTACAGGTGATCTTTGAGATCTCTGTAACTAAAGTTAACCCCCTGTATTTGTGAGTTTCAAGTTTTCTTGGATTGGTAAATGTATACAAATTACCTGTTAACAACTCAGCCTGCAGTACAGTATTTGCAAGTTTGTGAACCTATCACCCAGTATCAAACTCCACCCACACTACCACTAACTCCAGGGAAATAAGTTGGAGATCTGGAGATGTTGATATTATATATGGTTTGTGGACACAACTCTTGCTCGTCTTCCCTTCTCACTACAGTTAATGAACTGCAAAAACTTTGCTGTGCCTCTCAACTTGTGCTGTTTTTTGTTTACAGGGCATCTACTAGTCTGGAAAACCTGGAAAAGGCAGGGAATTTTACAAATAAACCTGGAATTTTATGTGAATTCTATTCAACTTCAAATTATTGTTACAGTGATATCCCCATTAGCCAGAACAATTGGTGCAGAGCACTTTCGAAAAAATCTCTCATCGCCGGAAATTTCCATGTAACGGAAAAATGTTCTCGGAAGTTCCAGAAATTGACCATTACATCATCTCTCGAACCCGTAAAAATATCCCCCATCCCCTGAATTTTCCGGAATTTTCTGGGTATTGGGAAAATTTTCTCAGAATTTTTTGTAAAATGTGCCCCTCGGAAAATCGCTCCCAAAGCCGGAATTTTCCAGAACATTCCAGCTTTGGGAATGATTTTCCGAGAAAATTTCAATTCTGGTTAGTGGTGAGGTAGAATAAGTCTAAAACAAATAAATACCCCAGATGGGTGTACAGTACAATGTGTCATCACTTAAGGCTGCAGAGTCTACAGGTAACCACTGCACCAACACAAATGTTCAGTAGTTATTGTACTGTGCATCAGGTACAACCCAACAATCCAAGATCTCTCACCTCAGTTTTAAGTTTCCTTGAGCATTCACCTGGAAGACAGAGGGATGTTTGAGTTTTTTGATCTGTGCTCTACTATAAACTGGAATTATAGAATCACCCGCATTTACAACCTATGCACATGTTGGGCAATTCAGAGGTAACTCCAGTTCACAACCCTTTTACAAAACTAAACTAAATTTTCTGTCTACAATATTTTTGCTGATGATTGAGATGATTTATTCCTGTACCTTATCACTACTAGTTGGGTTTTCAACCATGAAGACTACAGTATCTACTATAACATGAGATTCCCAATTTGTGCTTGGCTATAAACTGGATTCCAGGATCAATTTCTCATTCACAATAGAACTGGATTATGCATCTTAGGTACCCTCCCTCCTCCCTGTAGAGCTGGAACTGAATTACCATTTGTTGCTGAGTAATGAGGGTTGAGAAATGCACTGGTACTGGTGCATTGGCAAGACTTATGGTTTTCAGTCTTCAGTGGTAACTGCTGTAACCATTAAGTGCCTTTAGATGTCCAGATATTATAGGAAAGCCTTAATTAATTTTTGGATTAGTTCCAGTCATGGCTGGGTCCTGGGAACTGAATTTTCAGCCCATGGACTTGCAGACTATAAGGTACTCCACATGTATTACACAAGCCAAGCTCAGATTGAATTGGAATTTCTGGATTGGTGTTCCATGTTGCTTCATTTCTCCTCCATTCTTTTTCCCAGTTTTCTCTCTGAATACTTCTCTATTTTTCATGTACTGTAATTTTACCACAACAAGTTATACATAATTGTACATTACATTATTACACACTTATTCACAGGTACATTTGGCGCGCTGAAAAATTTGTTGGGTTTGCAAGGAAAGTTGCGTCGTCCATTAGCAGAAGAGGAAGGGGGAGAATCATCAGATGCTTCAACTCCTTGGCACCGCAGAATTAAATTCACTGGTTCCATCAACTTCTTCTTGACTGTTTGGTTTATTCTAGGTTAGTTAAATTCCATGTAAGTCATTTGCTTTTTCATGCCTACTGTCAATGCTTCCATGTCACATTTTTCAATCAAATGTAAAGGTTAGGTTAAGTACCTGGAAAAAATACATGTGAACTAAGAGTAATTTGTAAACCAAGCTGAAATGCACCCTAACAGTTCTTATTTTCTTAACTGTAGTAAACTGTGTCCCATTAAAAGTTATGACTCAAATTACCTAACCTTTTAAAAGTCATAAGTAAGTTGAAAGCTTCCATAGATAGTCCAGGCATGTAGTGTAGATGTCTTTATGGATTTGACTCTCCCTTGTCTGTATCTGGAACCTTTATATCATTTTATTTAGGGACCTTTTCTTTAGAATTTATTTGCAATACATGTATAACACAAAATACATGTACCTGTATTATAATGTACCCTAATGTATTATATGGGTGAGTCAGGGTAACTGATCAAAGCTTGTATTTTTCAAATTTGGCTTTTGCACGGTGATTTTTTTGATGGGAGAGAGTATAAATTATTTTTTGCATTTATGTGGTATTTTTTATGTAGTTAAGTAGTTAGACACATTAAATTTGATTTCTGAGAGATAAAAGTTTTGGACCATAATCTTGATCTCACCAATTTTGTTCAAAATCTCAATAAATGTACTCCTGAACATGCTGATTAATGGTCTGTTTTCCACAGTTTTATATCTGTATAATTATGTGTCCAAATGACATCCAAACAATTATAATTACTTTTCTAATGCTACTGTAATTACTCGCCGCTTTAAGTCACCAGGATAATACAACTTACGGTGATACTAGCATAATTACTAGAGACAGATAGATGGTTTTGTATATGACTCAATAGATATTAAAGATGTTTATCTAGTTTTCTTCAACACATTTGTTTTCTAATTGGTTTCATCAATATTTCAGGTTGTGTGTGGGTGTACCGTATCTATGAGCCCAGCTACTTACGGGATGGTGGTGGCTCGTACTGTGATTACACTTTGTACCAGTTTGCTTTCTGGCTGGTAACTTCCGTCTATATTGCCGTTGGTCTGTTGACTTCCTGCATATGTTGCCTTTCTGCAGCCACAGTTGTCATGAAGCACAATCGCTTGACAGAAGCACAGGTTTAAGTTTCATAAGAGTGATTTTTGTCTGTGAAAATATTGGTGTATGTGAGATGTGTGCGTGTTAACTGTAAGTCTGCATTTAGGTTTATCAGACATATTGCCAGATACTACACAGTATGTTGATGTTGACAGCTCTTGATTAATATTGGATAAAGAGACTTCCTGAAAATGAATCTCAGAGAAATTTTATGTTTGTCAGGTTATATGAAAAAAGGTAAGTAGCTTTATTTACACTTATTTACTGCACTACGTACATATATGCTCCATGACTGAGACAGCAATTAGTGTATAAAAAATCTAGTAGATACTGTACTGTGGTCTTCCTTCATCAGTTTTGGACAGCAATTGTTTATTTAACCCAACATCATTATTTTTTATACAACCTATATATCTCACAGAGTACAGTAGTGTTGTCAGTAGAAATATTAGTTTAGTAAGTGGACGAAAAAGTTATATCACATAAAGCCTTGTTTATATTCCACACCCGGGTATGGAAGATCACAACTCTATCACAAAATGCATAAATCAGTAGTTAGTGTATTTCACAACACAGTACTGTATACAGTACAATATATGTAAAAAAAAAATCCAGCATTAGTCATATGAGCATTTCTCTTTCGTACAATGGGTTTATCAATGAGTTGGAATGAGGAAACTTATATCCCCATTGAATAAAGTGCTTGGAGGCGACATTTGCTAGCTGTCACCTTCATATGACAACCAAGAGTGTAACAATGTAATGTGGACCCGTTAATGCATGAAGAACCTCATGGCTGGGTTCCGCAGTGTTGTACTATGTACCTATCTAGTCTTTTATTCACAGTATTGTATTGTGATGTACTGTATATCTTTCCTTTTATCTCTTCTCAGTTCTTATGTTGGAGAGGGATTCAATATTTACAAAATATTGTCATTTGTCTCATACATTCCTTCGTTTTTGTTCATCAGAGTGATAACCTGGCACACCTTTCATCGTCTGCCTTCCCTTATCTTACTCCGATGAAGAAAAATCATACTCGGTAAAAAATGTGGTACAGTATTGCTTCACTTTATCCGAACAGTAGAAATTTGTATACGTATAACACAGCTCCTGTTATGAACATTCCGTCACCTCACATATATAAACTATTTAGGCGGAAACTTGTTTGAGAATGTGAAAAGATTACATAGCTGCTCATAAACATGTACGTACTGTTACTACTGTATATGGGTTGTAGTACAGTAAAACCAGATGTATCGTGCTTTAATCTTGTTAAAGTTTATAGAGTACAGTACTGTCTTCTTCATTATTTCATAAAGAAAACAGGATTTATTGTTTAATCCCTTTTTATTGTTTATGTATGTATTTATTTACTGTTCTTATTTGAGTTCATTGGATTGACACACAAATTTTTTTTTCTTCGTGTACTATCTATGGATGCTGATGTTAGTTAAACTTACTGGCTATGGGAATAAGCAAATGATAAAGACAGGCCGAACAGAAATGGATGTATGATTGAGACGATTTCTAAGTGTTTAACCAATGACTGTGGTGTAGATTTTCACCTAGAAATCTAATAATTATTTACCATAGGAGGATATAAGGAAGAAATTATATGTGTGTAATAATCCTGTCCAGCTAAGAATCAATGACTCATTTCTCTGCTGTCATTGATAAATGTGGATTTTGTACAAAATGTTTGTAAATCGTGTAAATGTGTAATCCCTGCACAGTACAGTACAGTATTGCTTGTACAGATACTGTATTTAATACAAGCTTGAAGCATGTCATACCCCAGCATGGTACAGAAATGTGGTTGTGGGATGCTTGAATTAAAAGTTGAAGTGAGGCTATCAATCACTTTGGCTGTGTTTTTTGCATGATGCTCTTAGGAGCAACATATATGAATTACTGTATATGATTTTTGTTTATTTATTTATTTTTTAAGTTTTCATATTATTCTAAGGACCTTGACTTTGTAGCATATTGACCACTAGTGAATTCTTTGGAAGAACTGCCACTTTTGAGAAACAAATGACCATCTGTTATTATTATTGTTTTTATTATTATTATTATTATTATTATTATTATTATTATTATTATTATTATTATTATTATTATTATTATAATATTGGTACAGTATTTACTAAGAGTAAATAGAAAATGTACATTATTTGAATTGAACTTCTGTACCATGATACCATAAGTATTGTTCATATTTCTTGGTTAAAAAACTCAATACTATATGGTCTGTTGATCCCAAAAGGTATGATCATCATCACCAATGCCATATAAATGTTGTTTCTAGATCAGAGATGACTAGTCTCACATTATCATCACACCAGAGACAAGCATGTGTTTCTTTGGTGTCACTTTCTAATAAACTGGCTGGTGAGTCTTCAGCAAATTTCTTTTTTCTTTTTTCTTTTTTAATAAATGTTCATGGACTGGTGACCTACTGTATTTTGGATTCTGTGCCCATATTTTATAATGATGTGTATGGGTGAAATAATATTGGTAATGCATATGATCAATGGCAAGTCAGTTATCAAGAACAAAAATTGCTGAATGTTTAAGTACAGTGGTCCCTCGGTTAACGAACGCCTTGGCTAACGAAATTTCGGTTTACGAATAACCTTCCGTAAGAAACTTCATTTCGGTTAACGAACAAAAATTCGGTTAACAAAATTCTTACGAAAATGTTTCGACATGCTTTGGCTTGCTCACCAGCTGGAAGATTAGTCCGCCAATACAGAAATCGGTTATAAGGCTTACATTCGTTAAAATTGAGTAAATATCAAGAAGGTTGTACTATTCAATAATTTTCCAGGTTTTATATTAAATTTTTTAGTGATTTTAACACTTATTTAACCTAATTGCAGTACAGGGAACTAGTTTTTGGTGCGCCCATCAGCCACTTCACTCACTCACCAAGGCGTCAGTTTGTCTCTGTTCAGTGGAGGAAACATCTTGCTTGTGGGTCTCTTGAACACAGAGTATTTTCACATTTTTACAGTACAATTATTGGTCATTCTGAAATTTAGTTAACATATTGACAATATATAGTGCAGTGCAGTGTTGATTTAAAGAAAATAATCTTGAATTACACCTAGTGAACTTAAAATTTTATGGGTGAAATGACGGCATCAAGCATGGGGTTATTTCTCTTCCACCCCCACTTCCTTCTCTTCTCCCTTCTCCTCCACCCCCACTTCTAATTCCCATCATCATTATCATCAACCAGGAGCCTTCTACATACACACCTCAAAGTAAGTGTACTTTACTGCATTTTTTTTTACTTTGTATGTAATTTTCGGTGAGCTGGAACCAATTATCCAAAATCCCATTGAAACAATGGTTTGGTTTAACGAAATTTTCGGTTAACGAACGACCTTCTGGAACGAATTGTGTTAGTTAACTGAGGGACCACTGTACAGGTTGACAACCCTTTATCTGAAATTCCGAAAACCGAAAAGCTCTAAAAACCTAAAGTTTTTTGTGGGTCATTTTTGTTTTTTTGTTTTTTTTTTTTTTTCTTTTAACAGAGATTATTAGCCCACCCGGGCACAGATCACTGACCCACATCGGGGCCTGGGGGGCGAAAATGTAATGGTAATAATTATTATAATAATAATTATTCATAGTAAATAAAAATTTTAATAAAAATACACCAAAATAAAATAATAATGATTACAATAATAATAATAATAATAATAATAAAATATACTAATAAAATTAATAATAATAATAACAATAATACTGTAATAATAAAATAATAATACAGTAAAGAAATACAAGAATGAAAAAATGATCAAAAGTGAGAAACACGACCTAGACCTATGAATTATTATTATTATTATAATTTTTATTATATTTTAGACCCCAGGCCCCAATGTGGGTCAGTAATCTATGCCCGGGTGGGCTAATACACATAAAAAAAAAAATCATTCTGAAAACCGAAAAATTCCGAAAGCCGAAATGCCTCTGGCCCCAAGGATTTCGGATAAAGGAGTGTCAACCTGTATTATGAAACTAGATTCACCTTTTCTGCTCCATTATTTTGAAACAGTATGTGAGTTAGAAGTGTTACTTAGATAAATGTATTACGTAACAAACTCCATCACAGTCCATGTTACGTCATGCCCTTGAAAATATTGTACCATAGCTTGTGTGAACGGTTAAGTCTTTAATCCTCTGGAATTTTTTCCTGTAAGTGTTGCCTTAATCTATCACTGGTGATGATGAAAACTTTGCCTTCTCAACCGAACAACTTTTTCTCTCTAATAGAACTTGACGCACAGGCCATGAGCTTATGTCCATTTTACTGTATGTACTGTAAATATTACTGTATTGATCTAGCTATAATTATGTGTTCTATGATGTAGCCCACACTTGCTGCAATGAACAAGTGATGACTGTTAAGTATCTCATTTTTAGTTTATAAGAGCATTCCTTTTTACTTTTACAATACAGGACTGATAAAAGAACATTTGTTCAGACTTGTATACAAAATATGGTAATTAACCCCTACGTCCCGGTTGATGTTCCGGAACGCGCACCTTTTCGCGGCATTGTTTGAATGCCCAGAGCGGGTTATCAGGTTCCAGCGTGACTATTTGTGTGTCACACCACATGCAGGGTAGCGTGGGTAGGCTCGGCCACAGGGAAGCTTCTGGAATGAAAGTACAGGTGCCTACTTTTGTTTGTTTCATTTTTATTGTTTGTCCATTTTATGTTGTATCAAAGTAATACTGTACTGTATTGCTAAAAGTAGTGTAGTTGTATTGTAGTGTAGTATTACTGGAAAATAATGCAATTACTATGTGGAATTATTATTCCAATAATTATTTCTATGCATTACTTGCTCTCCCAAACACAAAGACAGCCAGACAACCTGACGACAGACTGTGTGTTTGTGTGTGTGTGGGTGGTCATAATAATAATGATAAACGGTTTATTGAAAAAGTTTGCAGCCCGAAGGCTGAAAGTATACATTGGACATAAATTACTTATTACATACATTGGTGGTTTAACAAAAGCCTTCATTAGAGAAAGGTGAAGGAACATACAGTGAACATTCAGATTACAGTAATGTTTACACACGTAGATAATGTGAGCTGAGGTGTTGAACAGCAGACACGTAGTGTAGTAACTCCCTCACAGATGGCGTTATGAGGGGCATCGCGTGGAGTACTAGTTCCCTCACAGGTGGTGTTATGAGGGGCTTGACGTGGTGTAGTAATTCCCTCACAGGTGGTGTTATGAGGGGCTTGATGTGGTGTAGTAATTCCCTCACAGGTGGTGTTATGAGGGGCTTGATGTGGTGTAGTAATTCCCTCACAGGTGGTGTTATGAGGGGCTTGACGTGGTGTAGTAATTCCCTCACAGGTGGTGTTATGAGGGGCTTGACGTGGTGTAGTAATTCCCTCACAGGTGGTGTTATGAGGGGCTTGACGTGGTGTAGTAATTCCCTCACAGGTGGTGTTATGAGGGGCTTGACGTGGTGTGTGTGTGTGTGTGTGTATGTGTGTATGTGTGTGTGTGTGTCTTGCCGAGCACTTTTTATGAAAAATAATGCAAATAAAATAATTCTAAATGAAATATTTATAGGAAATAAGTATTATGATCAGTAAATATATGCATAACTGGCCATCCCAGACACAAAGGGAAGAGGAAAATGGCCACGAAGTGCGTATGTGACCACGAGCGGACGCCGTCAAAACAACGGCGTCCCCTTATCTCCCTCGCTCCACGCTGCCATTTTTCCGCCACTGCGGCCCCAGGGAAGTTTCTAGAGCATTGTTCTTCAAACTTTTTTCATTGCCACCCAGTTTGATTTAATGCATTACCCTCACGACCCTACTGTAAGTCTCTTGTACAAATGTACAGTACTGTGTCTTCCTCCTTCCATCCAGCATGAACAAAAACACAAAATACAAGCCTTTTTGCCATTACATACATACATACATATATATCATGCATACAGTATGATTTCAAAATACTTGCATGTGGTGAAAGTCTGTGCTTGTGTAAATTTTGACTTGTAAAGTGATTACAAAGCATGTAAAACTGCTAAGCAAATTTTATCAAGTAAAACATGGAAATGTAATATGTAGTTACCTGTTCAGTGTGTCTGGTGGGCTTGCTTGTTGCTTGTTATCTTGGTCCAATCTGGCTTGCAGGAGGATAACGCCACACGAATATCAGCTGTAGGATTGAATCTGCTTCTTTCATTGTTTTTAGCTTTGTCAGGGTTGAGAAACCAGCTTTATACATGTAAGTAGTTGTAAAGGGTAGCAAAATCAAGACACTTTCCTTAAGTGCAGATATTCCTTGGAAACACTGATCCAGAATGATGACACAAGTGATTACTTGTGCTGATTCTTAATGAATTATCACGTGAGATGGAGAAGCTCTTTTTCCTGATCAGGTGTTAGGTTCAACCCTACAACAGACTCTGGCATCTCAAAGGCAAAGGGGTCTTTTACCCCGTGTTTTTCTCAAATCTTGTAACTTCTCTTCAGGAGAATACTGTTCAAAACTGGCTGACAAAGCATGTAAGTGTAGCTGTATATTGCATTTCATTTTCTTCAAGTTTTTTCACTGATGCTGTTTTCTTCAATGTGTTGCAACAGTGTTGGGAACATGTAATAAACAGGGTGATAAACTCCACGTCTGGCTTGCCACAACATTACTTCACTTCACTTTTTCTTACAACAAAACGATCTTAGGGTTGGGCATAACCATAATAATGATATGACTAAAGAAGGGACCATGTTCACGCTCCCGCAGTACAAATACAACTAAGGAAAAGTTTGTTTCTATGGCGTGTGAAGCTAGCTAGCTCTCTCTCTCTCTCTCTCTCTCTCTCTCTCTCTCTCTCTCTCTCTCTCTCTCTCTCTCTCTCTCTCTCTCTCTCTCTCTCCTCCTTTTTTATCACTATTTTTGTAAGTACAGAGCTACTATTATTGCTATAATAGGAATATAATAGTCCTAATAATTAATTGCTAATATGATAATGATAAGAATACTATAAATTAATATATTCTTCTTATTATATATGTACAGGTTGTTATCATTATTATTATCATCATTACAATATTGTATTTCAGTTATAATTTATTTATCTATTTATGAGAACCGGCGACCCAGTGAGCAGAACCTTGCGACCCAGTAATGGGTCGGGACCCGTACTTTGAAGAACCCTGTTCTAGAAGGTCAATATATAGTTTTCTTACTTCATTATTTTTGGAAAAGTTGATTTTTCTTGATTTACCCCGCGAGGGGGGTACGTCCACCGGCACCCTAACCTGGGGCGTAGGGGTTAAAGTGCTATCTCATGTAAATCAGTCCCATAGCTGAGAGTTCTGTGGGCAATTTATTTTGGATTTAGTATTTACAACTTCTGCATTGAAAGTTTTAAATTATTAATCTACAGATTTAATGAATACACTACTGTAACAGGGATCTTGTAAACATTCAGTTTTATATCACCTCTCAAATTTGTGAAAGCTCTTTCTAATAAAGGTCTCCTTGCAATTCAGTGCAAAGATGTATACTGCCCAGTTGATGCCATGTTGTTTTCATTTTCATATTGATCCATGATGGTTGTATATATCATCAATTCCCTGAGTTTAATCCTCTCTTTATCCATGTGGAGAATAATCACTTGTAAGTTACCTTTATCTGTCTGCTTCATGTATCCTACCAAATCCTACCTAAAAGGAAATACAGTTAGGTGTCTTCTCTCCCTACACCAACTACCTCA